TCCCAAGTGAGCACCTGCAATCAGAAATTAAATTGAGCCGGAAACAACCAATGCCATATTTAGCAAGAATGTCTTATTTTATTGTTACTGTAACTGTGATTATTGTTAATGCCTGTTTAGCTTTTAATAGACATTTCCATGACTTATGTAGCAATAGTAATTATTTTTTCTTATTTTTATTTAATTCTTATTTTCAAAAGTAGATTACATGAGATGATTCATCTGAAAATGATATAGTGAAGATCACTGGAGTAGTTAAACTCTCTACTTGATTTCAAAATCTGTCTGTTCTTTTGTTAAAGCACATTCAGCAAATGTCTGATAACACTAACTTTCTAATTATTACTAATTGATATCGTGTATTTCGTACTCTTTTGTGGAGTGCTTTTTTTATTCAGCACCCTATTATGAAGTTTTTCATGTCAAAATATTTTATGTATCCAATTGCTTAAAATTTGATGATTTATAGTTGTTTTCAGTAGCTGCTATTGTAAAACTACTAGACATATACTTCTGGGAATATATCTGATTGTGTGAACATTTTAAAACAAAAACCTTCCTTATGATTGACTGGTTGGAGGTAAAAGCCACAGCTTCTCTAAGGGAGGACAGACACAGCACGGCTTCGGTGAGAATGAAGGCCAAGTGAAGCTAAGAGCCGGCATGGTCTAGTTATGTCGTGGCCATCTTTCACGGTTCAAGTCTATTTTACCTTCCACCCAAAATTTTCTTCACGGTATCTTGGATGTATTGAAGCCACTCCATTCAAACTGGGACTACTTGGCATCCAAAGAGAAACATTTCCCCTTGTGTCATGTAATATGGAAATAGGGCGAAGAATCTTTAAGATAAATACAGAGATGGTTTGCAGAAGTCCCTTTACCAGCAGGTGGCGCATCCACCCTGTGCTCCCGCGGAGGCGTCCCTAAAGAGGGAGCCTCAGGCACCCCAAGCTCCGTGTCCACGGTTGCGTGTCACCCTTGAACCTCTGAGCTGTGAGAAAGAAATACGGGAACATAGTTTAGGGAAATGTAGGGCTGTGGGATGATTTTGTGGGGGAGGCCTACAGACGCCCCCCCCCACCCCCAGCAGTTCTGCTTAAAGGATGAGGCTCTCAGGAATAGCAGAATGTAACTTTACGTTCCCCATCTAGCTTCTCCTCCCAGTTCACGCAGGCATCACTTCCTCTTTGCCTCTTCCACAGTCTTTCCCCTAAAACCCCAAATCTGGTCCACATGTAAGTGGGAAGTGGTGGTAGTACTGACCTATTCACTACTGGACTTTGACAAAGGAAGTTTTACCATTACTTAAGCCAAACAAATATTCCCTCCATAAGACTCACTAGTACTTAAACTAGCTGGGATATGTTAAAACCATATCCAACATATAGCTAAATTTAATTTTAATAGTCAGGTAGAAAAATGAAAAAGTCAACCAGTCTTAAGAATTTTAATTCTAATACAAAGTTCACAAAGGAAAAACTCATTTGGAAGGAAGTTCTAATCTATAGTAATATATAAACAATGCTGATTACTTTAAACACTTGAATTAAAAAAAGAATAATGTCTCACCTATTATACATGGTTATCTCATTTCATTTAGATGATTGGAAAAGAATAAAGGTTTATAAAAATAACCTTTAATATGAACTCTTTAAAGAGTATTATTTTTACATAGTCTATTATTCACTTACAAATTTGACTCATGTTCTAACTTAGTAAAGATTTCCTTGGTCTTACAAAAAGGAAAAAAAAGCCATAAAACTACTTATTTTCAAGAAGGCAAGAACTAGAACATGTGTGTGTTTGGAGCAAGCAGGCAACAGTGAGGAGTCATTTCATTGGGGGGATGGATTTAGCGAGTTAAGGAACAATCCGATTCATTCCAGCAGAATCCTTTAAAATACAACTGTGACCCACGATGCTAAAGAATTCAAATTACTCATGAAAGAAATTGTGGCCAGCCAGACTGATTTTGTAATGTTGACTTCAATACTAAATATATCAAACCAGCGACAGAGAAGAAGGCAGGTTCAAGATGAGAATGGTGCTTTTGCTCAGCTTGGCGAGCTCCTTTGTTCCTGAAACTACAGCCACACTGGCTAAAGCCAAAGCATCAGTGCTGCTTCCCTTAAGTCTCCCAACCTGTTTCTCTGAATTTTGGGTACTTGGAGCTGCTCGCTCTAAGCACAAGGTGGTACATACTGCAACCCCGTAGTAGTGCAGCAAGGCCAGCACTCAGCCACATGCAAGTGCATCTGGGGAAGGGAGGCCCTGTCCCCCTCCCCCCCACTTCTCAGTAGTGACTGTTTCTGATGGGAAGTAGGTGGAGGAAGAGATGTAGATGTACAGGAGCATCAGGACCAGAGAGATATCATGTTTGTTATGGGTTGATTTTCACCCCTCCCCCCCAAACATGTGTAAGCCCCACACCTCAAAATGTGAACTTATTTGGAATAAGCTTTTTTTTTTTTTTTTTTTAAAGATTGATTGATTTATGCATACAGAACTGGGGTACAGGCCGGAGGGGCAGGGGCAGTGAGAGGATTCACCAGAGACAGTGAGGAGATGAGGGGAGTAGCAGGTGGGTCAGGAGGGGTCTGCTGCACCATGTGGGTCACCTCTTGGGCAGGGGTCGAACTCATGCTGAAGTGGCTTTGGCTTCTTAGTGTTGCGCTTTAGCCTGCTGTGCCACCAGGGAGGGTCCCCCAATTTAAAAGTTTTTACTCAACCAATAAGCATTCTACAGGAAAACACCAGAAAATAGAATTGTCTACCAATAGAACTGATCAAGACAGTATATTAAGGTGGACAAAAGGATTCAAGTATCCCACGGCAGGATGGCAGCAGCAACATACCAATAATCTCAGCACTGACTGGAGCAAGGGTCCAGGCAGCTGCTTGCTGAGACCAGAGAGGCAAGCCCAGCAGTCAGCCGCAGTGGGTTGGTGCTATTTTGATAGGAAACTTCCAGTTCCATGAAGTCATAGTACATCCCATTTTCTTTTTTTAAGATTTGTTTATTTATGCTTAAAGAACTGGGGTAGAGGCCAGAGGTGTGGGGGGTGAGAAGATTCACCAGAGACAGAGTGGGGAGCAGAACAGGCCAATGATGAAGTACACAGCTGAGGGGAATAGCGGATGGGTCAGGAGAGGTTTGCTGTGCCATGTGGGTCACCTCCGGTGTGGGGATCAAACACATGCTGAAGGAGCTCTAGCTTCTTAGTGCTATGCTTTAACCTCCTGAGCCACAGGCTCTGGAATAAACTTTTTGAGAGGCAGTCAAGTACAAAGGGAAGACAAGATGAAGACACACAGTGGGTGATACATCTACAAACCCAGATGATCAGGATAATGGGCAGCCAGAAGAGCCCAGGAAGACCTTCCCCTGGAGCTCCCAGAGAGGGAGCAGAGTCCAGACAATGCCTCAGTGTTAGACTTTAGCCTTCACAGTTGTGAGCAAACCCATTTCTGTTGTTTTAAGGCATCAGTTTTGGCCCCTTGTTTGGGCCACCCCAGAAAACTAGCACAGGTGGAGAAAAGCAGAGGACGTACTTCCTTTATTCCTGAAGTGACAGGTAAAGCAAATGACAGCTGTGCCACCTGCCAATCCCTTTGCCTAGTGAACTCATCTTTAGGTTTAAGAATGTTCCAGCTTCACAGCTTTCAGAATAACTCACTCCCTCTGGGTTCCCTGAGAGCACTGATCTTGGTCCTCTTCTGACTTGTTCTCTGGGTCCTCACGTGATTTCCACAGCACCCAACTGATCTTGCCGATGGAGGACATCAAGGGCTTCGTGGCTCCACACCTGTCATCTAGGTGACTGGAGTCTCCTTATGAAACCTCTTTCCTCACTGCCAGTAAGTGGAATTCTTCACTGCAACCCCGTAACAAGCAGCTGCTTAGAGAGGAAGTCTAAGCCCACAGGAGGGAAGAAGATGCTGCCAGTGCAGATGTTAAAAGTTAATTTTACACAATGAAGTCATCTAGAAAAACTTTAGGACAAAGGTTGGAGACTGAACAAGAAATCCTCTTCTGTATCTAGTAACCAGAGGAAAAGCTATAGGCACCCAACTAAGCTTATCTTCTTTTCCAATCCAGCTCTTCTGGGCTGTCTAACCTGAAAGAGGGTACTGCACCCTCCTGGACTTGGAGCTAGGGTGAGAGAAGAGTAGTCTTAGGTGCAACATGTAAGGGTCCACTCACCTTCAAAGTTGGCTGCTGGCAGCGTCCAGCTGTCCTGCGGATGCCCTATCACACTGCACAGAGGGCGACTGTAAAATCCTGCTCAGAGGTAGCTTCTTGTCAACGGCCATTTCTTTTTCTCCCAGTGCTTTTTTTTTCTCCTACTGTTGTCACCTTCCTCCACTACTACCTTGTCCTCTTTAATTTTGGACTAGAACCACGAAACAACACATGCAATCAGGCTTTTGCACAAAATGGCAAGTCTTGTTGGAAAACTGAGTCTGGCGAGGGCAGAAATCACCCTTGCTCTTATCCATGCCTAATGTGCAGTGCATGGCACAGAGTAATAATAAATAATTGTTTATAAATGATTATTAAAAGTGAGTTCATAGCAACTACATTTCATGCAAGCGCTTGTGGTGCCTATTAGATGTTTGTGGAAGAATTGATATCACTTTCACATTTAAAAAAAACCTTAAACTATCTGCATCCCACCCCACACAGTATAATACCAAGCATGATTCCCAGTTTTATGAATCTGCAGTGACTTCTATTACTGTCCAGCAGGGGCCTGTGCCAGCCTGGGGCTGAACCTTGCCAAACCAGGGACAGGAGTGAGCCAGGGTCTCAGCCTCCCCACTCGTCCGAGGATATTGTGTCGCCTACAGCTTTCTGTTCTGTTAAAACCACAAGAAGAAAAGGAGGAGCCGCTACATTTAGTAACATTTATTTATGCATTCAGTATCAAGTACATAAGTGCAAATATCCAGAGTCCATAATTAAGTCCAATAGGAACTACAGAGGAAGTAATACAAATTGTAATAAAGTTGACATGCTGGTACTTTTTAGTTACCATACATGTAAATCAGTCCCTCGGTCCCACACAACAAAAGTACTGCGCGTTTGTTTGGGGTTTATTCATTGATTTAAGTTATACAAAACTGATTACCAGAAGTACAGTCGACTTTTAATTTTTACGTTGTGTGTGTGTTGGAAAAACACTAAAACATCAGTCTACGATTCTATATGTTGTTAGCAAAGGTTAATCCGACCAGCAACCCGAGGACGTAGAAGCGACTTCCACTGGGCACCCGCGCACTAGGCAGGCGTGGCCGGGGACAGGAGAAGCTACAGAGCATCGCAGAGGAGGACACTGTGGAGGGGGAGGGGCTTGGGCTCTCACCATCATGCACTTTTTTTTTAGCAACACAAAATTAAAAACCACATCTAATACACTTTTCTCTATATTTTAGTGCTTGACACAAGTGACTCAAATATCCTAAGAGTACAGGAACAGCCTAAAAACAGCTGTTTTAAAGTTTGTCTCTAAGATTATGGTACGGGGGTAAAGGGGAGAAACAATCAATTGCAGTAACATGTAAGAACAGCGCTGTTACTACGGGCAGACATTCCTGTTGGTGTCCAGTCCCCAGGGGGGGATACCAGCTTATTCAGCGTGCCTCTTAGCGCCTGGGATTTTAGCCTGAATCCTAAAAAGGCAACAGCAAAGGGTAGTAAGCCACAAGTGTTATGAATGAAATCCTTTTATGAGTTCATAATGTGCTTTAACTAGCTACTCTGTTGTGACCAAGTAGTTTAAAATTCCACAAGATAGGTAGGATAATCTTTATGTATGATTGTTTTATAAAAACATTTCTCTGCAGGGCCCTCCCTGGTGGCACAACAGGTGAAAGCGCAGCACTGTGAAGCTATCCACTGTGTCACAAGTTCGATCCCCAGCCAGGGAGGTGACCCACATGGTGTGGCAGACCTCTTCTGACCCGCCCACTGCTCCCCTCAGAAGTGTACTTCAGCATTTCTGCCTGCTGCTCCCCACTCTGCCTCTGGTGAATCCTCTCACCCACCACACCTCTGGCCTGTACCCCACTTCTTGTATGCATGAATAAATTTTTTTAAAATAATAATATACCAATAAAAATTTCTCTGCAGCAATTAAGAAAATATAAATTAGATGATGAGTTGAATGGCATAAGAAAGTCACATTTCTATAACGTATCTTTTAACTGAGACAACACAGGTGAACAAGGAGGAGGCACAGGGCCCTCCACCCTCAGGTGTATGCGCCACACCACACCCACTGCCAAAGTACCCACTATTCCCATAGTTAAGTGGTAACTTAAAAAAAAATAATATTTATTTATTTATTTATGCATTTAAGAGCTAGGGTGTAGGCCAGTGATGTGGGGGTTGAGAGGATTCACCAGAGACAGAGTGGGGAGCAGAACAGGCAGATCTACAAAATACACTGTGAAGGGGAGCAGCGGGCGAGACAGGAGAGGGCTGCTGTGCCATGTGAGTCACCCTCCTGGCCAGGGATGGATCTCGTGTTGCGGATATCTTCATAGTGGTGGAATTTAATCCCCTGTACCAACAGTGAGGCCTTTTTAAGTAGACAAAGATGTCAATTTATTTCAGGATCATGCAAACTGTGATATAGTCAGGATGACTATCATCCAATCTGGGACAGTTCTGTAAGGAAGGGGTGTGATTACTATTTCATGGACACATATGAACCAGGGATGGTCCTAGATAAAGGTCTTTGTTCCAGTTCTGTTACTTATTACCTGTGTGACATAGGCCAGTCAATGAGCTTTCCTGTTCTTAGAATGTGCATCTTTTAATGTGGTATAAACGAGATATCTCCAGCACCCCAAAAATTATGCAACCCTCACAGTATGGTAGTTTTATTTTAGAGTAAGTTAGCTAGAAATTTTCTGTTTTGTTAAATCAAAGCTTTATGTGCTAACTCACACAGCTTTTGATTGAGACTTTGTTCTGTGCCAAACACTCTTCCAACAAAAGGGAGAAGGTGCCTTGTTCTCAACGGCTCTCTCATTCTCATAGGTACTGGGGAGCCAGAAACACACAAGTGGGTTTTAATGGTGAGTTTTGTGGCTAGAATTCTAATATGGAAGCAAAATTTCAGAGGATCAAATTGACCCCATGAAGTAAGATCCCACCAAGACATTTCCTTCAAAATTTAGTGCTGGACTAAACAGTTTCTCTGAAGAACTTATTTGTTTGCCTCACACATTCTGGTTATCTAAAACCCATTGCTAGAGTTCTGCTCATCATCTAGACCAGACACAGGATTCTAAGATTACTAGCGGGGTGCATGTAGTCAAAGTCTAGGTCTCTGCTGACATGTTTTTGTTGTTGAAACCTAGATAAGATTTTGACTAAAACAAAATCTTGAATCATCATGCAATATAAAAATCATAATTTCAGATGATGTATCTAATGTAACTAGTTTAAGAATTAAGAAAAATGACTGAGCTTAATGGCCACGTTAAGCTGTGGATGCTTAGAGCTTGAGTTTTTAATCTCCCAAATATACAAAGTAGCCATAAATTAGAGTCTGTTTGAAGACTCTGGCTTAAAAAGCGATGGTGTGAATTAAATAAGCAAACAAAGAGCACACTTACTGAGTTAAAATGGTATAACTTGAAGCATAATAAATGTTTTAGAGATTTTAAAAATTTTTGAAGTTTTGAAAATAATTTCAGTGATTTAAAAAATTAGCAAAATTTGTTTAAAAGATTGAAATTGCTTTTTGACTTAATTGGCTTCATTTCAATTAATCTACATTAATTAAGTTTACTTTTCTGATTCAGGCTTCTTGCTTGTTGGACATGAGGCCAGTCCCCAGATAGAGTTTAATATCGTGAATTTATTCAAGGTCACTCATCATGATACTTGAAATGAACCACTGAGAGCTTTATCTAATTTAGGCTTGATATGTTTATAATTATTTACTGAAATAATCTGATTGAGAAAGATATGTTAACCTTTCATAATATGTGAACATATGACTAAGGTAAGTGAATGAATGTTCATAAATCAGCACATTGTCTTAGTACCTATAGATGATCCCTTCCTTACCTAGTTCACTCAATTGTGACTAATACAGTCTCTCCTTTTAACAAACTGTACTATAAACTTACTTTGCCACAACAGCATTTATGTGAGTCCTCACAAGTCCCAGATATTGGTCAATCTGTGCCTACAAAGAGAAAGAAATCATGAGCGCATCCAAAGGTCATGAGCTCAAAATTCAACGTGAATGTTTGACATCACATAGAACTTACCTGGTGCTTAACATACACTACAGGTAGAGTAAACATTGAAACCACAGCTGGGATAAAAAAAAAATACAGTATTAAAATTTTAAGCTATCAGTAAATATAAGTGCATAGATATATTTCTATGTAGATTGGAGATATTATAGCACTATAATAGTCAGCTTTCTAGATAAATGACAGGCAATTCATAAGGAAAACAAAGCTATGCTGAGCCCGATACAAATTTTAAATCATTATTTCCAGAATGAGGAAAGTGTGCCCTCCAAGATGAAAATTAATTTGTGTTCATAACTGCTTCTGTAAACAGTCTCCATCAAAGTGAAATAAAACCAGTTCTGTTAGGAAGAAAAAAAAATCACAAATTCATTTTCCACATGTAAAGTATATTATAGTCTTTCTTGAATTGTGCTGCCTGATGCTCAACACTGGGACATCGGGCATTTATTCCTAATCTATCAAAGGAGCCAACAGCTGGCAGCTTAGGCAGCTGTTCCTGGAGGAGGCGGCCTAAGGCTGGGCCATCCTTACCCATGAGCAGCAGGGTCAGGCCGTTGAAGAGAGCGCCGACATAGGTCAGGAGCCACATCAGGACTGCAAACTGGGGAACAGAACGAGGATCACAGCTTCTCAAACCATTTGTGACAAAGTCTCGCTTCACTGACTTTTCTGATTAGAATTTGAGGCAATGTATGTGGAGGTTTCAATGGGGAATGTGAGTCCATTTGAAAAGGGATGCGGACACACTGGAAGAGGATATGCCCTTACTCCCCCAGGGCATTTGGGAGCGCCTCCTCACAAGATTTGAGAGACTAGACAGAATGAAGATCTGGGGCAGGGGTCAGTAGCAGTGGCCCTTGCCATGTTTTGTAGGGGCCCAGAGGCTCAAATAGACTTTACATTTTTTAATGGTCAAATAAAATCCAAACAAATAACATTTCACGAAATATTATATAATATATATTAACATTCATAATATATCATAAAAATGATACAAAATTCAATTTTCAGTATTCATAAGTACAGGGCCACCATCCTGCATTTATGGGCTGTCTTTGACTGCTTTCCGGGTGTAATGAGAAAGGTTCAGCAGCCGATGCAGAGACCATGTGTCCTGCAGCAGCTACAATACCTAGCAGGTGGCCTATTATTGATAAGGCTCTGCTCTAGCCCACAGTTTTCAGAGTACAAATATAAACATCATCTTCAAAACCTGACAGTAAGTAGTTACACCTCCTTGGTATCTCTCTTTAGCCATTACTTGGTAGGATGTGATTCTAGGAAAGTACCCTGAGGGGCCAGGTCTCATTACTTGATTGTCCTTCTCCCCTTCCTCACAGTTAGTGGGCAGACACAGGTATAAGACCCCTGCCTGGTGATACAGGTATTCAGGGAGCACAGGGAAATCACAACAACCTCCCCAATCATAACGGACTGATGGCTTGTTCATAGGAGCTCAGTGAATTCCATGAGGACCCCAGGAATAACATGTCTCCCTTCAGGGGCTTGACACTGGGGGTGGGGTGGGGGTG